GGAACTCTGGGCCTTGAGTTTGCTAGGCAACCCCCTGCCACTAAGCTAGAATGTGACGTCACCCTCTCATTTTACAGATGCTACTAGAATGCATGAATTTCTTTATTAAAAATAAATAAAGTTAGGTAATTTTGAATCTATTTAAGATCTGTGTTTGCACACCACATACAATTTTAGCGCATTCATATCTTCAGATAACGAGTTTCCTAACTCTTATCTGCTTAGTGAAATAACATATCTTTATACTTATCTTAAAATTATCTTAGCAGTGTATGGATTTCAGGGGTGGAATGTGAACGCTTAAACGCAAACTGTGCATATCCTGATGACTTTATTCCTGCCCTCAGTAGCTTTGAAGGTCTTAAATCCTGTCATATTTTTTCTAATTAAAAAATAACAAAAAAGGTTTGATTTCATAGATTTAAGTAATCAGGCTGATGAAGTGATAATCCTTGTAACTCAAATTTAAAGACAATATTATTACTCATTAAAATCTAAATAAAATATATTGTTTCCATTTAAAACATTATCCAAAGACAGATCACACAAAACTTATTGTGAATTTTAAGGTGTAAAGAAAACATTATAAAATATCCTTTCTGGGTTTGACTACTTGTGAGCTCCTAACCAACACTAGCCTTTTCCTGTATTCAAATGCCTGTATTTAATTCAAATCCTTCCTGCCTGTAGCCCCATATTTTTCTGCCCCTTATGTAGAATACTGCTTCAAAATAGTAGTTGTAATAAAAAAAACTAGTTGTCTCCTAAGAACTACAAAAATTGCTATAGAATTCATTATGCTGTTTGTAAATGGAACTGTGAAGTCCAGAAGCAAATGCATGGTTCCTGCAATTAGCAACAGTAAAGCCAGTACTCTTAATTAAATGTGCCTTTAAAGATTTTTTTCTTTGATTTGAGTATGTCCTCACTAACTTTTATGGGGCTGTACTTGACACAAAGGACTTTGCTATAGTAAGTGTCTCTGGTTCAGATGTATATTTCTAGGCCTTGCTTTTCTTGTGACAAGATCTAGACATATGGCTCAAGCTAGGAAGAAACTTGTGATTCTCTTGTGAACCTCCAGGAGTGCTGACACTGTAGGTGTTCGTGAGCATGACCCTCCTGTGAGCTCCCCAGGAGTGCTGGAACTATACATGTACACACTATGCCCAACCTCCCCAGAATGATACACTAACCTATGACAGCACATTTGTGTCTTTTTCCTTTGCATTATCTCACTTTGTGGTCCCACGGTCTATGCATATTTGAGGACTACAGATTTTTCAACTTTAAGCTGCATTGCAACATATTAGTTTCAGAAAGGTGACTAATTTATTGTAATATAAAAATGTCCAGCTTTGTCCAACAAAGAAAAAAAAAGTTGGACCCAGAGGTCTGCAAGAATGATGCACCAACCAAACACTATACATAGAGAAGACCTAGACCTCCCTGAGGAGATGTAGACCTTAGACAGCTCAGCCTTCATGTGGGTTCCCTAGCAATGGGAGAAAAGACAGTCTCTGACATGAATTTGGTTTCCTGCTCCTTGATCACTTCTCTCTGTTGAGGTGACCTAGCCAGACACCAGAGGAAGAGGATCCAGTGAGTCCTGATGGGACCTGTTAGGCTAGGGTAAGACAGGGGACAAGGACTTCCCCTATCAGTGGACTAGGAGAGAAAGATAGGGAAGGAAGAGGGAGGGAGAGTGGGGCTGGGAGGAGATGAGGGATGGAGCTACAATTGGTATAGAAAGCAAATAAATTGTAAATAATAATAATAAAAACAATAATAATAATACAGAAAAATGTTCAGCTTTGGTCTAAAATTGTCAGTGATCAGAAAACATTTGTACATTTTTTTTCAGTAAATCCATCAGCATCATTTTTTTTTATCTCAAGCTAAAAGTGGAAAGTCACAATAATTTAAAAGTATCTCTAAACTTGTTATTGTTTTAAATGTCAAATAGTTTCAATTATTTTCTTGAGCTACATACAGATGAGGGTTGGCTATATAGATACATAACTAGCAAACAACTGAACCATTTTCTTTCGGGTGGAAGAAGAATCTGTTCTGCCTGAGTGCACAAGTGGCTTAGTGTGACGCCCCAGGAGTATTGGGGTCGTCAACAGTCTCCTCCAGCCATTAGCACACTCTCTTGAGAATCTACATCATTAGTTTAGATTAGGTTCACTTAATTAGCCAGCTGGTTCTCTCCTTGTCAAACTGGTAAACAAGCTGTGCTTCCCTGTTCCCTCATGTCAGGTCTCAGCCTTTCTTTCCTATCTCACTGCCATTGTCAGTGCTTCTCCAATGCAAAGTGAAACATCTTCACGGAATCTGTATCCCTTGCCCGTTAGCCGTGCACTGTGCATTTAGGGTTTTGTATTTGTTGCACTGGCTCAAGAAAGACTGATGACTCATTACGTCACTTACCTGTGTGAACGTTATTGTCTATAGGTCAACAAAGATATTAACACATATGAAAACGTAAATCAAACCTGAACCTTGTCTGAAATTTGGCTTTCAACACTTTTTTTTTTAATTTTAAAATAATATTAGAGAAGGAATGCTTTGGTCAATGCCTTTATAAGTGCATGAAACAAAATCTTTATTTTACCATAACATCTTCAGTTTATTTTCAGAAATGTTTACGAGACAAACTAGAGTTGAGTTTAGGTGACCAAAAAATGTAGCACTGAACACAGTACTGCACTTGCATGATAAGTCTTTCTAGAACCTGCAACTGTAAGATATTAACATGCTTGTTACTTGAAAATATTTCAGAAAATTGACTCCTTTTTTGATCTTAAATGGGGGGATACAAAATGAATAAAGTGTAATTAATAAAAAAAATAGTCATTTACAAACCTTCATCTTCTGTTCTACTGTATTCTTTTCTCTATTTATGCCCAAATTTAATAAAATAATAATTTACAATTTATTTGCTTTGTATCCCAGTTGTAGCCCCCTCCCTCATCTCCTCCAGGTCCCATTCTCCCTCTTCCCCCCATCCCTCTTCCCTAGTCCACTGGTAGGGGAGGTCCTCCTTCCCTACTCTCTGACCCTAGCCTATCAGGTCCAATCAGGACTGTATTCAAAAAACTAAATATCACAAAGATTTTCCTGGTTGTTACTGTTGCTTACAGTGAACTGTTTCTTTAACAGTGTGATGGACCTAATGATTATTTTGTTTTAGACTGCATGCAAACAGTTGTTATAACCATAGACAGATGAAATAAAACTTCTCAATTACTTTAATAATGGCAAGCCGACTAGTTTCTATGGGTTTGTGCAGAAACTGAAGTTCATTAATGAAAATCAAGCTTTTTTTTTTCCTTCTGCTACCTCCTCAAATGGTTGCCTTTTCCTACTTGAACTTAGTGTTTCATCAACTCAAAATTGCCTTGGGAACCTGGAGTAACATCCTCTCAAGATAGCCTTCAAAACAGGAAGGCTCTGAAGCATGGGGGAAGGAGGACATCCCATTGCAGTCTTAGTTTATGAAGTATGTCATTCTCCAAAATCATGGACCAACTTGGTGGTTACAATCCTGGGAGGCTAGGAAGCTTAGTATCTGTCAAAGGGCAGGGGTATTTCTCAAGGTTTTACAGAAGTGACACCCATACCATAAAATTTCTGCTGAGCTGGCCCACAGTAAAATGTATCTATATATAGGTATAATATAACTGTAATATCCATGAAGGGATAACAATATCAATACAGAAATATTTATACATAAATTTAAAAGAACTAGATCTGTAAACCTAAATTTTTAATACAAATTGAAATATCAACTTCCATATGCCCAGTCACAAATGTAATTTAGCTCTGACCAACCCACAAGAACTACATATTACTGTAAGTTACATCTTGGGGAATTTTGATAATATTCAACAGCTTTGGGATGAAACTGTCATTACTGAATAAAGTTAGACAGAATATAATTTACTTCCTTTTATAAATTTAGAAAGCACACATTACTAACAAGTATAGTAGATTGCCTTACAGCTGTTAGTTTTATAATATTAACAGTCAGAAAAATAGGAAAAACAAAATAACTTTCTAACAACAATTTGTTTTCTCATAATAATATTTAGTAGAGGCTTAGTATTATAAATATTGTTAGATATAGTATATTGACTATACCAAGAATGTTACAAAGAGCTTAAAAATATTACTCATATTTTGTTTGGTAACATTGTCCCTCTCATTAAAGAAATTAGTCATGTAATGAGGTAGAAGATTAAACCCAGTGGTCAAACTGTTGCCATTTTGAAATCATGAATGATCATGTTGTGTAACATAGTTCTTGGATCAAAAGAAATAAGAATTGTTTACTCTAAGCCAAACAAGAAGGCAGAGCCTAGGAGCATGGAATCATATTGTCCTGAATAAGAGGTACTAATGTGAAAAATGGTTGTATGAATTGTTATGGTCAGAAAGCATGGTTTTTTATGATGGTTGCAAGGCTATAGTTCAGACACAGGTAACCATGATTGGTGTTAATTTTGCTAAGATGAGCCAGGCTACTTCAGCTGTGTAGCTGCAACCCTGCAATCATGGACTTCTCGTCTCTCCTCAGGCCTCATAAGACCTTTAATGCAGACATTGCTTTTGTTTCCTGCTCACCATTTCAGTTAGGTCCTTAATGGAAGCGGTGAAAATTGAAAATATAAACACAGCCAAACTGTTTCATCACTGCCATGAGTATGCATACTATGTTTTATAAGCCTTTATTTTTCAAAACAGCTCTCCTTGACTCAAAATTCACAGACAGTTGAGCACAATAATATTACTTAAACTTGTGCAAATATTGAAGTAAAATGAGGTTGATTATGCTATTTTCAGGTTAATCTAATAGGCCTTAGAAAATCAGGTGTCTGTCCAAATACTATTTAATCTCCTGAGATTCCTGAGTTTCTGGATTTTTCCTTCATTTCTAGTCCAGTTTTCCAATAATTCAAAAGGTTTAAAACTTTTTCATTTTTTTTTTATTGCAGGCAGTGAGCACAGATCCTGTACCAGTTAAATTACACTACGACAGGTCACATGACCAGGTTTGGGTTCTGAGCTGGGGCAGCATGGAGAAGACATCACCAACTCTACAGGTAGAAGATGGCAGGGCAGCCGAGAAAGCAGTATTTTTTTTTATATACATTTAGGTGTCTCAAATATGTTTAAGAGCATTTAACTATGACAGTCTTCCTAATGTGAACTGTGGTGTCAGCATTATCTATGCATTGAAAAGGGAAAAATGTGTCAAACTCAAGTAGTTATTTCAGACTAGGATCATCACAGATAATATTTATTAAAGGTTCCATTTATATGACAAAAGAACAAGTGATAGTAAACAGTTAAATGTCATTAGAAAAGAAATTACAGATTACCTAACTTTGTATGCTGTGGCTGTAACAGAATTCCTGATACTGGGTGATTTATAGAGCATAAAGGATTATTTTGATTCAGTTGTTGAGCATATGGACTGTCAGAAAATACTGGCAGCTTCCGTCATGAGCACCACAAGCTGCAGCAAAGCACGTGTGCCAGAGAAGGTTTAGTGATATAACTCTGCCACAATCTCAGTAGCCCCCCATCCATTAATAGACAGATAAGGACACATATGAGGTGCTTGCCTCTCATCTCAGTGACACACCAAGTTATGGAACTGACCACCAGGGTAAAGGCTGGTTTATAATAGTCTTCTAGCACCTAGAGTTTGGTTATAAGAGCACAGACTGACTCACCTTAATCAGGGAATATACAGTGCTATGCTTGGGACAGTTGCACCCATTTGAGGTTATTAACATAATGACTTTACAGAAACAGACAGGAAATAACCATTTTGCCTGTGACCCTGTGTCATATCTTCAGCAACAAGTTTAAGAGTGAGAGGAAGGGGAACTGAAGATCATTATGAACTGCTTCCTCACACTGCCTGTGACACAGTATTACCTGAAATGTGCCGCTGATGCAGAGCTGGAGTCATTAAACTTTTTACATATTTTAATAAAGTAGCTTTGATGCAAATATTTTGAGTCCCAATTCGTTGTCATTAACAATGTTTTTATTGTTTCTGAGGGTTTCCCTGCATTGTAGCATTTTACTCAAGTGCTAGAGGATTTTCATCTTATATTTTTAAGCTAGATTTTAAGCTATACAGTTTTGACACATTTTCTGAAAAACTATTAATTTTCTGTAATTTTTACCATTAAGAAAGCCTCTGAGCTGTGATACTAATTAGTGATTCTCTACAGGTTCAGTTGAATTATACGTTTAAAGTGACATTGACGCCTTATAAAATGTAGATATTGCTTTTCTAAAAGTCATGTTGAGCGTGTATGCCACAGCTTCACACTGATAAAGAGTCGGCTTTCCCATGTATCACAGGTCATCAGGCCTGGCAGCAAACCCCTTTACTTGCTCACTCACCTGCCCAGCCCCTTGCATGCTCATTTTTTTTTTTAAATAAACAAAGGTATAAGCAAATAGTTGTTTTAACCTTGACTCCTTGGTACTTAAGGTACAGGAAACATAAAGAGGACTTTCAGAACTTGATATGCAGTATAATATGAGAAATAACAGATTTTAAATATGATGTTTTATGTAGAACCAGCTCTTAGACGTTGTTCTCTGATTTCCATATTTGTGGCATTGTTCACACACATGAATATGAAAACACTCACCTAAACACTCAGAAAAAGAGTAAGCTTTAAATATGAATAAAAGTTTTAAAAATGTGCTTTAAGTCCAAGAGTTTCAAAAGTTAAGACGAATATGAACAAACACACAAGAGTAAATGAACTTTAAAAATGAACAAATTTTTTTGAAATACGTTTTTATTTATTCCAAGAGTTTCAAAAGTTATCATGCTGCAAAATGTTTTCTTTTCATTTTCATGCCCATATTGCTACCTTTGCTGTATAGAAGAAATTGTACCCTAGTATTTGTTTTATATTGTCCCGTGTTTGTTTGTTTTACTACTTTAATGGCCTCTACAATGCCCAAGCTGCAGGTGTGTATTTACAGTCCTCTGTCTCTTAACAAACAGATGTGTTCTGGGAATGTTAAGTTCTAAGGTAATGTTGACCTTGTGCAAAAGTTATATACTACAAGATTTCCTTGTAGAAGCAAGTTTTCCAGTGGAAAATTAGCTACATAGCACACATCACAATTTGCTACTAAGACACCAGCTTTGAGAAGGAAAATAGAGTCCGTGCATGCAAATGTATTTTGACGTGAACAGTATTAAGCCTCATGCTCTGCACTGCTTGGGTCTAAGCTTGCTGTATTCTGTTTAGGTGATAACCCTGGCCAGTGGAAATGTGCCACACCACACCATCCACACACAGCCAGTTGGCAAACAGTTTGACAGAGTGGATGACTTTTTCATTCCCACCACAACACTTATCATTACCCACATGAGGTAAGTGCTACAGTTTTAAAAGCTTTCTCTCTAATCCTAATAAAAGACACATATAATCAATAAACAGTTTATTTAGAAATCAAATGCAAATAATAGTCACAAATAATTTTCAGCTTCTCATTTCTACTTGGTGTTATTCATGAGGGTTAGTGATGAACTCCCCACCATAACCTTTTCTCATGTATAATGAACAAACTTCTGACACAAGCCAATGAAGTGTGTTCTGCTATTTGTATCAATTTAACTCTTACACTTTTCCAAATTGCTATTTATGGTTTTCCCCTAGGATCATATAATGTTTGTGTTTTCTGGAAAAAAAAAGATTCTGATGAATGAATTACTTCTCAGATAGAGAGAATGTGCTCTTCAGTGTGTTGTGAGGAATAAACCACAGGTTTGGAGGCCTGCTCAGTGTATTTTAGACCACCAACACCAGTCTGGCTCATGTTGAGGTTAATATAAAATTCAACTATGAACTATAATGAGTTCATGTGGAATGTTTGAAGTCTGAGCTTTGTAGGGAGCATTTTCTGTGTCTCTCCAATTATTTACAAGGTGTGAAGGTAGCGTTAGCTCACCATAGTATCTGTGCAAGGCCCCACAGCAGTGGTTTAAATGCTGGTATGTGCCAAGAGCTTTCACATCCGTGTAATGTACCATTCTGCATTACTACATGTAGTGAATGTATTGTCAGAGAATTGTGCGGTTTTAGGCTTTGAACGATTTCTATGCAGATGGTTAGTAAAGCTAACAATGATAGGAAAACACTCAAATATTGTCTATAAACAGAGAAAAGATTTTGTTTCATTGATACATACTGTTCAAATAATTTCAAAGTTGTGGTTGATGATTTATTATATTTTAGCATGTATATTCCTTTAGGGCTGTGTGTTCACATGCAAGGCTATCTAAACTGTGCTCTATAAGTACTTAAATTAACAGATATTATACATTAAGCACAATAATCCTATCTCCACATAGACCCAAATTTTAATGAACAGGAGTGATCATCAAATTTACAACATCACTACAAAAATGATGATCAAGAACAACAAAAATATGGCTTCTCTTTCACAAATTAAATTATTAGTTATGTAATGCTTCATTAAAACAACAAACGTTTATTTTGTGCTTGAAACACCTGGACAATAAATATGTTTTTTTCTACTGATTTTGTGGAATAATTTATCAACCAAATTTCACATGTGTGTAACGGTGGTGGGACTGAAATTTTGCAAACTGCATGTTTATAATTAGATAATATTTCTTCACAGTTTTGTTTCAGAGATATTTACACATTTTCAGGCAGAGGAGAGGGCCTGGCACATAATATGTGTTGGATGAATATTAGCTTTCTTCTTCTGACCTGGTATTTCATTAATCGACATTACTCCTGGATGGCATCATTTCATATGAATGATATCTGAAATACACCTGAAATACACCTGGGCCAGAGTCAGGATTTAATGTTCTTAGTTCCTAAAATGATGAATACCTAATTTATTTTTCTCATGGGGAGAGGAAAGTATCATATTTCCTATGACTTCGCTTAGGAAGAGCTGTTGTTTAAGCATATTGGGTTTGTGTGTATCTAACACATGGCTGACCACAGACCATCCAGGATTCATGAATGTATGGGAATGGTGAACTATGTCAGACACTCCCAAGATTGTGAAGAGTCCCAAGAGGAGGGGCACAATGCTGCAATACAACGCTTGTCTGTTCCATAGGATTTATCACAGAAAGTGGATAAAAGCTAAGGCAACTTATGCAATGCTCATTAATTCTTCATATGTACCTTGGGCCTAGTCAATGTGGGTTCTTGCTTTCTGTGCATATGCTTCCAGTCCCGAACATAATCAAATGCTAAACATGAACTGCTAGGACCAGTTTGAGGGGTTAAAACCTCTTTCCCCCTTTTTATCTCTCACTTGCCTTGGTTAACTTGGTGGCCATTGCAACACTGGCTGTCCTTGCCAGTCACCACCCTTGTAGGTGTTGATAGTCTCTGACATTGGCTTCTGTTCTCTTTCTTGTCAAATTCATGTTAACAGCTTATAAATGTTTCATGAGGCTTGGCTTTACTGATTGTAGTGAGCCAACTCCTGTCTCACTAGCAGCACCTTTGGCAGTGTATATCAGCATCCACTTCATCTCCTTCTAAAGTCTGACCTGAAATATAACTGGAGTAATTCTTTGTCCAGTGATACTCTCTGGATAATTCATAGTCAACCCAGGTATGCTGGGTTATTTGAGGATTAGTTAAAGTTATGCTAAAGGTCTGTATATTTCCAGATCTGGTTTATTTCACATATTCATGTTCCTGCCCCATTTCTCCATCTCCTATTTTGTTTTTGCACCGATAATGTTCAGCCTTCTTTAGTCGAGTCTTTAAGGTAGGTCAAAAGTGAGGAATTTAAAATACCAAAGTGGGTATGATTGTTTGACTTCCATGTGGCTTCACTATGCATGTATCTTTGTATTTTTATTGCTTTTAGAGCTATATAAAGAAATTCATACACATAAGGTTGAATTTTAATGAACAGTAACTATCATCAATTTCTTTTATTTTCAGATACATATGTACACATTAATTTGTGTGTGTGTATATGTCTAAATAGTTACCTTGAGATCCATGAAGATATAAATCTGCATATACAGTACATCATGTTACAAACTTTAAATGTATATAATCAAATACAAAAATGAAGACTAGATTTTTATAACCTTTTTTTTTTCACAAAAGTTATTTAACTTCAAAATGTGTAGAGTTTATTTGAAAGTTTCAAAACATTAAAAATTCTTGAAATCCTGTCAGGCTCTTTCTGACCTGATTTAGAAATTTACCTTTTAGAAGAGGATTATTTATGATCAGATTTGTGAAAACAGGGGCAAGGTGCCCTCTCTTTTCTCAGCTCCTCAGTGAACTTCATCTCATCCTAAGGATAATTCAGTCTTTTCTGCCATTTCTTATTATCCAACAGAATAAGTAATTCTTAGATATACTGCTCCTCTTTAGTCTTAATAAATTTCTCACTATTCCCTGAAGAAATCAGGAGAGTATGTTGAACCCTCAGCCTAGGCCAGCTGGGATTATTAATGGGAAACAATATATGATTTTTGTCATAGTTCCTTTAAGCTTTTGAGCTCTGGTTTAAGGATCAAGGACATGTCTCTCCCTTTTCTTTTCCTAAAGAAGTTGCACTTGTTTCTCTTTTCTGGAGAGTACAAGAAAATGTAGGATGTTTCCAATTCTGATGTCCCCTATAACCTGAGGAGCTATTGAAAAACATATTTTTGATAAACATTAACTTCAAAACCCAAACTTTGAGTTGATGTATTTAGTCTCTAACTGCCAAGGAAAATTGTAAATAGGTTTAAAGGACATGAATATCACAGAGATGTCGTTCAAGTATTCACTGGTAATATATTTAGGGGTTGGGAAGATCATTCAGCTGTCAAGAGCACTGCTGCTCTTTCAGAGTACCCAAGCTTAGTTCAGGTACTAACATGGTGGCTAACTAACCATCTGTATCTCCAGAGGATCTGATGCCCTCTTCTGACCCAGGTGGACACTAGCTATGAAATTTGTGCATACACACACACACTCACACACACACATATATACACACATATATACACACATATAAAAATGTGTATACATGCATGTGTATACATATGCATGTATTATAAATGAATTTAAAAGACTTTATCAAAAGAAAATTCATTTATATAAAACAATATATGATTGTATTAATTTTGGTTCACATTTTAAATGCTAATTGGAAATTTTTTTAATTTAATTTTATTTTTTTTCTTATCAGTTACATTTTATTAACTCTGTATCCCAGCCGTGTCTCGCTCCCTCATTCCCTCCCAATTCCACCCTCCCTCCCTCATCTCCACCATGCCCCTTTTCAAGTCCACTGATGGGGGGGACCTCCTCCCCATTCATCCAATTCTATTTTATCAGGTATCTTCAGGACTGGCTGCAATGCCCTCCTCTGTGGCCTAACAAGACTGCTCCTCCCTTGGGGGGTGGGGAGGCCAAAGAGCCAGTCATTGAGTTCCTGTTAGAAATAGTCCTTGTTCCCCTCACTATGGGAAACCAATTGGTTACTGAGCTACCACAGGCTACATCTGAGCAGAGGTTCTAGGTTATATCCATACATGGCCTTGGTTGAATGACAGTCTCTGAGAAGACCCTGTGCCCAGATATATTTGGTCCTTGTGGAGCTCCTATCCTTTCCTCATCAGACTAACTCCCTTTCTTTCATATGATTCCCTGTACTCTGCTGAAGGTTTGCTCATGAGTCTTTGTATCTGCTTTGAAAACACTGCTAGTTAGAGTCTTTCAGATGTGCTCAGTAGACTCCTGTCATACGTTCAATGCACATCCCATCTGTCTTTCTAAATGAGGATTGATCATCTTACCCCACGTCTGCTCTCTTGATAATCTTTTTTAGGTGTATAGATTTCATTATGTTTGTCATATCTTATAGGTCTATATAAGTTAATATATACCGTGTTTGTCTTTCTCCTTCTGAGATATTTCACTAAGAAAGATCTTTTCTAGATCCCACCATTTGCCTGCAAATTTCATGATTTCCTCCTTTTTGATTGCTGAGTAGTATTCCATTGTGTAAAAATACCACAATTTCTGTATCCATTCCTCCGTTGATGGACATCTGGGTTGTTTCCAGGTTCTGGCTATTACAAATAAAGCTGCTATAAACATGGATGAGCAAGTATCCCTTTTGTGTACTTGAGCAAAGTTTGGGTATATACCTAGCAGTGGTAGAGCTAGGTCTTGAGGAAGCACTATTCCTAATTGTCTTAGAAAGCACTAGATAGATTTCCAGAGTGGTTGTACCAGTTTACATTCCCACCAGCAGTGGAGGAGGGTTCCCCTTTCTCCACAACCTCTCCAGCATGTGTTGTCCCTTGAGTTTTTCATCTTGGCCATTCTTATTGGTGTAAGGTGAAATCTCAGGGTCGTT